ATTCCGATCCCAAAAGAACTATCTATAATTACCTTTTAGAACAATTTCGCCGATATCTAGGTGCAAGGCATAAAGAACGGCGTTGTTTTCCAAGGTTACACAATTATTCTGTAGTAATGTACACTCATTAACTATAGTTAGAATGCACTAAACATTGCTTAGATATAAAATATATAGAAGAGGAAACGAAGAGAAGAACGAAAGCCTTTTTGTTTATGATCTAGAAATGGCAAGTAGGGATCCTATTAAAAAAAAAAAAAAAAAAAATTCAGGTTCGATTCTCGGCAATAGCATTTTTTTGTGCATAATTTGAATTATATATCCACAAGTTCATAACTATATATCCACAAATTCATAACTATATATCCACAGTGAATGAATAACACAAAATCCAGAATGAATGAACTAAATATTCACAATGAATAAATATTCACAATGAATGAACCAAATATCCACAATGAATGAACCAAATATCCACAATGAATGAACTAACTATCCACAAATTCATAACTATATATCCACAAATTCATAGCTATATATCAACAATAATGTTGTTGAAGAGAATCGAAACTGAATTTAAAAAAAAAAAAAAATGGAACGCGCATTTTGAATCAAAATGACGTCGTTTTGCAACCGTGTGCACCATGCACAGCATAAATATTGTATAGTCATATAGGGTGAATAAAAACCACAAGAGTTGAATCACTCGATCATGTCAGCAACATTATAATAAGGACCCAGGCCATGAAAAAATCAAAGAAAATAAGGACCACAAAAATTAAACATTAATTTGGTCCACTGAACACCTAGCATTAACAACACAAAACACCTCACATTGAACACATTTGAGTCAACCCAACTACTTATCTCTTCATTGCTAGAATATCACGACAAGTAGGTGCTTGGGTATTTACAAACAAATTCAAACTTCTTGTTTCATAATCCATCCATTGTATATATATTAATTGTTTTTTTTTTTTCGTTTGTAAAGATGATCAAGTTGTTTTTTTTTTTTTTTTTGAAAATAAAAGGCTAATTCATTAATCATAAGCACAAAGATGATCAAGTTGTAATGTGGCCTTTTGTGTTGTCACACGTAATACTCTATCGACATGGGTATAAATTTTAATCTAGTACCCACTACCACAATGGGATATGTTTGTTTTGCGATAGTATTATTACCAAGTAGTTCTTAATGAAATTCATAGTGCATTTGTATAATTAATCTCAAAATTGTCAATTGATTTTATGAGAAAAATTGCAAGAAAGCAACCTAATGCAAGGACATAAATAATTCATGTTCAATTGAGTTACCATGATTTTTATATCCTCCCAAATGTTCTGTCGAGTCGGGGTGTGGGAGGCCTTTAGGATTGGAGTTTTTTGAAAGAATAAATAATCATTTCCTATAACACGACAACTAATCGTGGTAGTACTTTGTTTGAACAATGTCAAGTTTTAGACCCATTTTGGTGTATGTGAAACTCGTTGCACCACTTAATCTGGTCCACACAAGTTGTGTAGACCATATTTTGTATATTGTAAAATAATGTACATTCAATACAAAAATAATGTACATTGTATTCAGGGAATGTATATTATTTTTGTACTGAATGTACATTATATTGTATAATGTACATTCAGTACAAAAATAATGTACATTTAGTACAAAAATAATGTACATTTAGTATATTAAAAATGTACATTTTGTTATGGTTCACATAACAATGTGTGGACCAATAATTTGTCCCACTCCATAGTTGTGACACCCCAAAAATCCAAATTCAATTAATGGACTAATTGAGTAATTAATCCTATTTCGAGGAATTAATTCCTAAAATTCTGATTTTTTAATACTCAAGGACTAGTATTTGACTAGTCAACCTTAAAGTTGTGTTGTACCTTAAGCTTTGAGGGGAGTTCCCTTGTTCCTTACACTTTCTAAAGGTTAGTATTGACTTTTCACCAAGAATTAGTATTGTAACCTAACCTAGAAGACTTCTTCATTTCATTCCTTACATTTCCTAAAAATTAGCTCTACCTTCTCTCTAGAAAGGTGAGTAGCTTATTCTCCAAGCTAAGTTGAAACCCTTGTCAAGATTCCAAGATTTGCTTCCAAGATTCAACCTTTCACCTATTTGGGCATCTAGGAGGGTAAGATCTAAGTCCATCTTGTGTTTTTGGTTCCATCTTAGATGTCTTTTTCTTAAAGGTAGGATCTTTATGATCTTTTGATTTAATCTTGAAGTGGGTTTGGAAAGTAAGCCTTGTGGGGAGCTTGTTGTGGTGTAAAGTGAAGTATTTTGGTCTACAAGAGGTAACCCTTGCTCTACAAAATCTATTTTGCTTAACTATATGTGATTTCTTGGAGTCTACATGTGTTTTGCTATGAAATGTGAGGGTTTATGCATTTGTCTTGTGATATTGCATATCTAGAGCTTGTGTTTAGGGTTCCTTTGTGCCATTGCTTGGCATTTTCCATGATTCAAGTCATTTTGTTGTGTTGGGTGAGATTTGGTATGTTTTGGACTTGAATTTGTGTTTGGAGAAGAAAATCCCCGAAGGGATCTTTTTGCACAGGAGTATGTACCCGCAGGCGGAACGGCGGGCCACCCGCAGGTACATAGGTTTGTGGGTGGTGTACCCGCGGGCGGAACCACGGGTAGGGGCCTACCCGTGGGTCCACCCGCGGGAAACACAGTGGTGTTGAGATGGGATTTGTTCCCCGTGATTCTTTTGACTCGGTATTTGGTCTTTTGACTTCCCGATGTTCTTTTGTGGAACTATTTGAGTGTCTTCTTGATGTTTCGTATGTCTAGAACTATATGGTAGGTATCCATGTAGGACTTTGGTGTCTTGAATCGTGCTAAGTGTTCAACATTGTGTTTCGTTGGACCAAGAGGTGTCTTGTGTGTTCCTCGGAACTATCTTGAGTTTCCCCGTTGATAAGCATGCTAGTTTATTGTCTTAATGCTAGCGTGTGTGTGGTTTGTACCTTCCGTTTGGTTGATGATAACTTGTGTTATTCATCGTTGATGTTGTTGGGCTGTGACCCGTTCCTTGATTGAGTATTTTTCATACATTCGTTGTGATCCGTTGTTTGACTCTTGTTGAGTTGTGGTACGTGTATGGCTTTACCTGGATTGCACGATTAGTGGTATGGGACACTAGTCACCAAGGTATTGCAGCGGTCCTCGTGGTGACCGTGACGTGATTATGGAGTTGTGGCCTTTGTGTAAGGTTCACGTTTTTGGGGGATAACATGTGTTATCCGGGCATGTGTTGCCGTGTACGGTACCTTGTGTACAATAAATTGGTGGTCTCGTTGGTGGTCATTGGTGGGGGACAACGGTCCTGGGGGAATAAGGTTGGACTTGGCTGTACAGGGGTCCTGGAGGTAATGGTTGGAAGAAGATATAAGGTTGGGGGTAGCCATTAGGGGTGTGCAAAACCCGAGGAAACTGACCCACCCGCCCGACCCGAAACCCGACCGGCTAGTCCGTGGAGCGAACCGTATCCGAAACCCCTACCCGATCCGACGCTACGCTACAAGACGGATGCAAGGGGTTCGGGTGGGAGGTAGTAAACGCCACCCGAACCCGTCCGAACATCCGATAAAATCCTAGGGTTTTTTTACCCTATGTAATACGATGTCGTTTGGTTTATATATATATATATATATATATATATATATATATATATATATATATATATATATATATATATATATATATATATATATATATATTACTCATTCCATTGAGCGCAGCCGAGCTCCCATTTCACTCTTCTAGACTTCTCTCAATCTTTCATCTCTCATTCTCTCTTTCGCTCTGGTCTTTGAGACTTTGAGTCTTACTCTCTAAGACTCTGAGAGTCTGAGTCTCTGTTTGTTAGAGTGTTAGACACTCGCAGAGTCGCAGTTGTAGTCTGGTGGAAGCCCTATTCGGAGACTCGGAGTAGCGACTGGCGGAGTGGTGGAACGGTGGAAGCCCTAGACCCTAGTCCGGTCACCGGAGTCCGGTGGAACTGTGGAACGGTGGAATAGTGGATTCGAAGCCCTTTGTTTTCGAGGGATTAAATTTGAGAAACGAAGTAATTACTAAACCCTATTTACATTTTCGTTATAGATTATTGTGTATTTGTCTTCTTGATTAGGGTTTCTAATTTTTATGATTATGTGGACTGTGATACTTGTAAATCCGTTGAGAAGTTCCGGATTGCATGTCACTAGTCCTTTGAGTTTGAATTTGTGAATTGTGTGATTAGGGTTTCTAATTTGTAACCTAATATGTGGACTCTGGACTATGATACTTGTAAATCCGTTGATAAGTTCCAGATTGCATGTCAGTAGTTCTTTGAGTGTGAATTTGTGAATTGTTTGATTAGGGTTTCTAATTTGTAACCTAATCTGTGGACTCACTGGACTATGATACTTGTAAATCCGTTGAGAAGTTCGGGATTGCATGTCAGTAGTTCTTTGAGTGTGAATTTGTGAATTGTTTGATTAGGGTTTCTAATTTGTAACCTAATCTGTGGTGGAAGCCATACTGCCCTAGCCCCTTGCCAGTTGCCACTGTGTGTTAAATACTGAAATCCATATAAATGTTAAGCTTGATGGTATTCTTGTGGAAGCCATATAAATGTGGGAGTGTGTCTTGTACTCATGTGTGACTGAAATCCATATAAATGATGAGCATATAAAGTAGCATACATCTACTTAGCTTGAATGCCTGATTATGGATTTCATTGTAAATTGTAATTTGTAAGTTGTTAGTTACTTAGTTGTAAGTTGTAACTGTGAAAATGTGAAATTGTAAGTTTATGGATATGTGACCCTTAAATCATTTATGTGCAATTCTGCATACATGATGAAATGTTCAATTCACTGAATTCTGTCTGTTTAACACTTTAATTAATTGATACAAAGCCCATTCTCTGTTGATGATTTTCAATGAGTGATTTCCCATTCTGTGTCACTGATACTTTCCCCTTTTTAGATGGAAAGTGTTAGTGGTGTTACTGGTGTATCTGGAACCCAACCTGAGTTGGAAGCACCTGCTGTAGAGACTGTTACTCCTCAGTCTCAGCAGCCTTTGCCTCCACCTGTTCCAAAGAAAAGGAAAGAGGTTGAATCCAAGGCTCCATGTTGGGATCACTTTGAAAAGATCAAAGACAGTGAGGGCATTGTCATCAAAGGAAAATGTATATACTGTGCAAAAGTGTATTGCTGTGAGACCAAGAAACATGGGACTTCTTCTCTCAGACTTCATGTGGTAAACTGCCTTAAAAATCCTCACTCTAAGGAGACAAGGCAGTCCCTACTCACATTCCAACCTGCACCTTCTTCTGCTGGAACTCAAAGTAGTGAAGGAACTGAAGGGGTGTTGGGTACTTGGGTGTTTGATCAAGACTTGATAAGGAGAGCCTTAGCTGAGATGATTATTTTAGATGAACTTCCTTTTAGGATTGTTGAGGGACAGGGTTTTAGAAAGTTTGTTTTAGTTTGCTGTCCTAGATTTAAAATCCCTTCAAGATGGACTATCAGTAGGGACATTTTCAAGATATTTTCTGATGAGAGGGTCAACTTGAAGAAGTTTTTTAGGACTAGCAGTCAGAGGGTAAGTATCACAACTGATACTTGGACCTCAGTCCAGAGGATAAACTACATGTGCATAACTGCACATTTCATTGATAGTGAGTGGAAGCTGCAAAAGAAGATTATTTCATTTGTTCCTATATATTCCCACAAGGGGGAAAGTATTGCAAAGGCTTTAGAGAGTTGCCTTTTGGACTGGGGTCTAAAATCAGTGTTTAGTGTGACAGTAGATAATGCTTCCAGCAATGATACTGCCCTAGGATTCTTGAAGAAGAAGTTGGGCTCTTGGGGTTGTACTGCTATTAGGTGTAAGTATTTGCACATGAGGTGCATTGCTCACATTCTTAACTTGGTGGTATAGGATGGGTTGAAAGAATGTGACAGTTCTGTTAAGAAAGTCAGGGATGCTGTTAGGTATGTGAGGAGCTCACCTGCTAGGTTGCAGAAGTTTAAATCACTAGCTGGTCTAATTGGGGTGGAAGCTAAGAATTCTCTGTGTCTAGATGTCCCTACAAGGTGGAATTCCACATATATGATGCTTAATACTGCATTACTGTTTCAGAAGGTATTTGAAGCCTATGATGATCATGACAGTTCATTTAAATCTGATTTGGGTGGAAGTGTACCTGATTTCTTAGATTGGGAATCCATTCAATCTTTGGTTATGATTCTGAAATCTTTTTATGAAATGACTGTTAGGATTTCTGGATCATTGTATCTGACTTCTAATACCTTCTTCTCTGAGATTTCTGATTTGTCTTGCTTGTTGAAAAATATGGAGGAAGCTACAGAAGATAGTGTTAAACTGATGGGTAAAAACATGAGGGCAAAATTTGATAAGTATTGGGGTGAGCCTGAAAAAATGAATTTTTTGATATTCTATGCAAATATCTTAGACCCCAGGGACAAAATTGAGTATATGCACATTCAGTTTAACCAGTTATATGGTGAGGAGAAGGGTAAAACAATGTTTGATAAGGTGATTGTTGGCCTTAAGGAGTTGTTTGAAGATTATGTTGCATGCTTCCCTGTCCAGTCTGTTGAACAATCTGAAAAATTTTCTCCCTCAATAACAATATCTGATTCTGTTTCTGTTGGGAGACCTCAATCATTACTGAAATCTCAGATTAAGAAGCAAAAATTGGTGAGTGGGGATTTGTCTAGGAAAAAAACTGAGTTGGAAGTGTATCTCTCTAAGGTTATTGTGGATTAGGATGATTCATTTGACCTTCTAAGATGGTGGAAGCAACAATTTGAAAGGTTCCCTATCTTATCTAAAATGGCAAGGGATATTCTAGCTGTCCCAATATCAACTGTTGCTTCAGAATCAGCATTCAGTACAAGTGGAAGGGTACTTGATGCCTTTAGGAGTTCCCTAACTCCTAGAATTGTTGAGGCATTGGTGTGTGCACAGGATTGGCTAAGGTTAAGCAATCAACCAATCTCAATTGAAGAAAATATTGAAGATGTTGAAAGGATTGAGAAAGGTATATACTTCTAACTTCCAGCAATGATCTGTTTAAATGTTTAATTGTTTAAGTTTTAATTTCCATTTTGTTTTTGTACTGCAGAGTTGTGTAGCACATCCAGCACTGGAACTGGAATGCCTACAATTGTTGTATGTTTACAGTTTCCATTAATTTATTTTGAAATCTGAATTTGTGATTACTTATTTGATTTCATGATAAATTTATGCCTCTGTATCAGTGTATCATGTATGTGTATCAATGATTCAAATCAATGTCCCTCATGAGGCTGGGAAGTTGGAACTGGAACTGGAAAATGCTCATGGCTAGGTAACATTTTAAATGTTGCTGCCATTGAGCTCAGGTATCAGTATAAGTACTGACTAGATGTGTAAATGTGACTTCTGACTTCTGACTCACTATACTTATAACTGTATAACTGTTCATTATTGTGCTATGATGATGCTTCCACCATGTTCTCTGAATATATAGAATTGGGTTTGGTATGTTGCCTATGAAGTGTGGTGTATGTCATACTCATTGAGTAGTGTTCCCCCAATCCTAAATTGATATGGAAAAAAAAAAACTATCTGAGCACTCTTTGAGTCTTTGCTATTTAAATATAATTCATTAGTTGTTCCAGTATAAGTATTATTCTGCTATGATGATGCTTCCACCATGTTCTCTGAATATATAGAATTAGGTTTGGTATGTTGCCTATGAAGTGTGGTGTTTATGCCATACTCATTGAATAGTGTGCCCCCAATCCTAACTTGATATAGAAAAAAAAAAGCTATCTGAGCACTCTTTTAGTCTTTTACAGTTTCAGTTTGTGTGATTGTGTCAATCCTAACTTCAAATGTTTTGAACTTATTGTGTTTTTATGTGTTCACTTATCAGGAAGAAGAATAGACTAATAGAGACATAGAGTACTCTATATTATATTAATCATATATTCATATATTACTTTTGGAGTTTTGGATATCTGGCTTTCTTTTACTCAATGGCTGAAACATGAAAGCTGAATGCTGATGTGCTGATTGGAGACTGATGTTGTTGCATGCTTGCCTAGTTGCCTGCTTTCCTTGGAAGTTTGGAGAAGATTGTTATATTTTTGCTAATTCGCTATGAACAATTAAAATTCTCATTACAAGTTAATTTGTAAGCTAATTTGTATTTTGTATATGTAAGCTAATTTGTATTTTGCTGATTATATGTTTACACTTTTATAAGTTTACTTATGTTATTTTTACTTAAGTAGTTCATTAGTTAGGTGTTCCTTCATCCATGAATTGAATATTTGATTTTTACATTCTGATCAAACCGAATTACCACACGGATATCCGACCGATCCGATCCAATCCGAAAATAAAAATAACCGATCGGATTAGTCAACAAAAAAAAAAAAACGGTTAGGGTGGTCAAAATTGAAATCCGAAATCCGAAGGGGGGGCTCAGTCCGCAATCCGATCCGTCCGACTGCACAGCCCTAGTAGTCATAAGGTTGGAACAGGGCATAAGAAAGGCATATCAACTCGTGATGGGTGATGTTACGAGGGCTTGTGTAGCCGGTGTTGTGTGTTCTTCTCTCGTGACGTGTGTAGTCACGGAGGCATGTGTTGCTTTGGCATGTGTTGCCGTCGGTCTTGTCTTTATCCTTTGCGTTGTGGTTAACCTTTGTGGTTTGGGATGTGTTCCCGTGTTATCTTTGAGAGTGATGAGTCTTGTGTTGACTGTTGATCTTGGCTTTTGACTTATATACTTATGTATTCCGTTTCGAAAATGGTTTTACAACTTACATCTATCTATGTATGATATTTCACATATATTGGTGGGTTACCAGCATTATCGCTGACCGGGCGTCGTCCCAATGTTTATCTTTGTATCTTTCAGGTGATGTTCAATGTTTATCTTTGTATCTTTCAGGTGATGTTTAGACGAGCGCAATGTCTAGTGCCTGGTAGCTTAGTACCTTTATCCTTGTTTTGTGGCCTGTGCGCCAATGTAGTTTTAGACTGATGTCTTTGGGATAGAACACTTGCAGATTGATCGCCGTAGCGTTTACCGTGTTTGGTAGACGTGGCATAACACCCCGTTTGGATTTCTTTTATCCAGTTTTCGCTTTATCTTCTTCCGCTGTGCTAGTTTTGTTGTATGATCTGCAGGTGTTAAAGCCTTTTATATAGGTCGTGTTTGGAGGGTGTTACAATAGTTTTTCTAATTTCAACCCATATGAAGCTAGTACAAGTACAAGTCGTATAAGATTTTATTCGTTGTATCATCAACAAAATCTTAATTACTTAAGAGCAAATTATACCACTTAGAAAGTAAAATAACTAGATAGTAATTCAATTCGCAAAGTAGACTAACCAGATAATTCATAAAATCAAGTACTCCGAGTGGTCAAAGATCAAAGAAGTCACAAAGCCAAATGGTTAGTAATCTAAGAGTGCAAAGCAAAATAGTCTAAGACTGAAGAGTTGAAGATCTAAAAGATGCAAAGGCTAAATAATGGAAGGGTCAAATTGCTTAAGAAGCGAATGGTTCAAAGGTTCTGTAGAATAAAGGTTCATGGAAGGTAATATCAATTGAGTAGTTGATATAAGGCAAATGGTCATCTGGTTGAGTTCTTTTTTTTTTTTTTTTTTTTTTTTTTTTTTTTTTTTTTTTGTCAAACACCCAATTAGTAAGGTTTTCCAAAATGTGGATTGTATTCAATTTAGAAAACCCAATAGAGTTCAAAGATCCGAGAAAGTGACCTAATCAAAGTCAAACTACAATCCGCACAATCACAATGTCAGTAAAGTGAGTGAAGTATTCCAAGTACATGGTTATCAAGAGAATATGGCAAGGTTCTAGTATACCTAGGTACATTAATCAAGGAGGATTTTCCACTTTTAACCAAGACAACAAGTCTATCCATCATCACCCCCCTCTAGACTTTAATGTAAGGTAATATGATTATAATGTGAAATAACGAGAATGTGAGATTACATTGTGTGTTTAGTTAAAATGATAGGAATGTAAAATTTAATATGTTTAGTTGGAGTTAGATTTCAAGTCATGTTATATAATTTACTTGTCTTCGATACAAATATATACATAAATAAATATTACATATATACATTAACGTATATTATTATTTTATATATGTATAAATATATTATTGTTATTATTATTATTTTATTTACTTATTATAGTATATATAAAGGTTAGTTGATATTGACAAAATTCAAATATTGAAAAATAATGTAAGAATACCTAAGATGGAGGTAAATAGGTAATTACATTATCTCTAAATTCTACGTGACCGTAATATAAGATAACCGAGATAATCATGTAACTTGAACTAAATAAGGTTATATAACATTGCCATCAATTTAACTTGTTATGCATGACACACAACTAACTGTATTCAAACCCCATAAAATAACTATTATTAACAAAATCTTGAAATCAAGCTAAACAAAAGTTGAAGGTTTTGCAAACTTGTATATGATATGATGAGTATTTAAATTTCAGTCCCCCTCTACCTCTTAACAAATTTTGAAGTCTTTGCAAACAAAATTGATGATACAACTGCTCATTTTCTCTTCTTAGGGACTGACAAAATGTTCATAAAAATCGTTTTGAACGAAATCATGTAAAAACAATGCTTATCGACAAAGAGAAAGGGAAAACAAACATACTAACTTAATTCAGAATCCTGGCAAGACCGAGAGGTCTGCAATTCCAACCGGGAGGTCCGCAATTTTCTTGAGCAGGGCAAGCCTGTTGTTTCGGATTCTTTCATCGTCCTGCAATATGCATATTCAACACTAGTACATCTAACACCAATAGAATCGGTTTTTAAGATTCATCAAGGCATGATCTAGGGAAAAAAGACCCACATATATTGGAGACTTCGAGGTAAAAACATCGATCATTTTATTTATATTTTTATGGTATACCATTTAGAGGCATTAAGGATTGAACTAGAGACATTTTAGCTAAAGTCTAATCACAAACTTCAAAATGGTATCACACCATACAAAAATTCTTAAGTTTACTACCCATCATTAAAATATTTTCATGTGTTTAACCCATCAAAACATCTTCCGTTAACATGTAAGGAACAAGATGAGGATAAATAAGAATATAAAATAATGTGTATAAAATAAACTAAAGCAAAAAAGTAAATAAAATCAGTGTTGTAAAAATCGGCCAAAGCGCCCCTACGCCGAGGCGATTCCAGCCCTAGGCGGCTTTTAATCGGCCAATCGACTAACCGACCAACTAGGCGCCCTAGGTACCGAGTTGGGCGCCTAACTCGACCAAGTTGGCGCTCAACTCGGTCGAGTGGTTTGTTTTGCAGTTAACTAGTTTGGGAGATTATAACAATCTAACAACTCCCAGCCCTAAGTGGGAAAAGTAGAGACGATATACTCGTATTACTCGACCGCCTAGGCGGCGCCTAGGCACTGCCCAGTCGCTAGGCGCCCGACTAGCGACTAGCGCCTAGCGCCTTTGCAACATTGAATAAATAAATACTTACCACCATTACAAACACGTGATTGAAGAAATTCTCCAATGGATCTACGAGTTCAAGAGATGCTTTGACAAAATCATCCACTTCCATTTCTGCACAAAGAACAAATATAAACATGTAAACTCAACCACTAGCACATGTTGCAAAACTGAAAATGCTACTAACTAATGCGGTGATAACGTGAAAAGATCATTATGGTGCAAGCTCGTGCAGCAATAG